TGAAGGAGTAATTTTATTTTTTAGTGGAATTTCCAACTCCTGCTTTAAGGCAGTGGAGTTTTAGTTGTTTTAGGGGAGCTATCCAAAGGGCAAAGGTGAACTTTCTTCTTGAATTAGCTTCTTCACTTCATTTGTGTTTGCCATATTCATAATCTTGAGAAGGGTTTGCTGTAGGAAGATAGGGTCAATAAATAAGAATTTTTGGGCCAGGGTTTTAGCTCAGTGGTTCCACTGCCTGCCTCGCAAGCATAAGGATCTGAGTTCGATCTCCGGTACCAAATCGAAAAAAAAAAAAAAAAAAAAAAAAAAAAAAAAAAAAAGAGAGAGAGAGAGAAAGAAAGAAAAAAGAATTTTTCTCTTGTTTGCATCCCAGTTTCCTCATCTTGGCAATGAGAGTTTTATAGATTAGTGGTTCTCAAATGTTTTGGGAGATGACAAACTGTACATTACTTGGGGTAGGACTAGGGCTGGAGGTTTATTGCAATAACTGAGACTTCTGGTCCACCTTAGAAATTCCTTTTTGGGAGATAGACCCAACAGTTGGTATTTTAAAGAAGCAGCACCCCTCCCCACAAAGGTTTAGCTCAGAATGGCTGAAAACTTAGGTCCATAAGACTTACAGAGGAGCTCATTTACTATGCAATATCCCTAGCCCATCCCCAGAGGAAATTTTCTCCAGAAAATGGCCAGGAATTTCTTGTGTTTGAGTAAAACTTTAGGAAGGATGATAGAGTAATCTCTAATCCCTTCCAGTTTTAGCAGTCTATGACTTATCAAAATCCAAAGATGGTGAAAACTTTGTGAGAAGCTCCTGCTTTGGTTTTTCAGTAAAAGGTCTTCAATTGCTATCATCTGTTTTTTTTTTTTTTAGAACCATAGTAAAACCTTCCTGTACAAAATGCTTTTAAATAATCAATATCAAAAATAAATATGTTACAAACTCCAATGGCTCCTCCCTCCGCCAAAACACTATTCTTCTTTCCATCTGACCTTGACCTCTTTTTCTGTGGTGTGTTTTACTGCAGGAGCCAGGGAATAGAACCTTGTTCTATTTTGTTTGCCTACATTTTGTATTGATTACATCTTTTTACCTGTTCGTAATGGGGCTTAAATATTTTCAATTTTAGTACAGTTGCTCCTCAACTTATGGTGGACTAAGTCTCCCAAGCCCACTGAAAGTTGAAAATGTATTTAATACAAGCAGCCCACCAAAAACCAAGACTTAACAACCCAACCCAGTGCACTATTGTTTCCCCCTGGGTCCAGTGGTTGAGTGGGAACTGTGGCTTATTGATGCTGCTTGGTATCACCAGTGAGTATTGTACTGTGTATGGCTAGCCCTGGAAATTATCAGAATTCAAAATTTGAAGTAGTTTCTACTGAATACATATTGCTTTTATACCATCATAAGATTAAAAAGTCATTAAAGAAGTTTAAGCCAATTGTAATCAGGGTTTCTTTTACTTAGAATTTAAAGTGTCTAAACTGAGATATTTATAGATTTTAGTTAGAAAAGTACTCTCTCAGTTGAAGACAGTTGAAGCTAACATCAGCCTACCATAGAAGGTGTTGCGTCTTCTCCATTTTGTACACTTAATTTTATGTCTTCTGACTACCAGGACTAAGTCATTCTCATAAAATGGCCCTGTATTGGAATGACATTTATCCCAGTAAATTCCAACAGCAGCAATGTTATGTGACAATCCATTGCCTACTTTATAGCTTAAGTTGGCCTCCTGAGTAGAGACTGGCCAGGTAAAATTAAGTGAAGACCTCAGAAAAGTGCTTTCAACCAAGCCATACCAGGAAAAAATCTGTCTTTCTGTCTGTCACTTTCTTCTCTTCCCTCTCTCTTGACCTTACCTATCCTATTTTTGGCTAGTATCATAATGCTGAGGGCTTTGGTAGATCAGCTTGCCCAGAATGGTGAAGAGGAAGGATAGATGAATATGGTCCATGACTATGCCGTGGAACAGCTGAATTAATACCAACACAACAAAAAAACCACTTTCTTCTAGAATTCTGATATGTGAGAAAAATATCCCCTATTTGTTTAAATCACAGCTAGTAAACTTTTCCAATATTTACAAGCTTAAACATTCTTAATTCATACATACTGATATCTGGGAAAAAAGAGCCTATTTTCCTTCAGAGAAGATGGATGTATTCAAATCAAAGTACATGGGGCTATGGACTTGGTGAACATTTTGGTCCCCAAGCATTGTTCTTTTTATGTGTGTCCTATCTTCCTTGGGGCCCTCAATCCCACAGCAGTCTCTGTGTTCAATCTTATCCTTTCCTCTTAGGTATAAAGAAGAAATTACTGGAACAGCTACTCAAACTATCATCATTAGGACAACTTACTAAGAATACCTCTTTGTTCTTCTCTGAGACATGTGGATTTATATACTCATGGTCCTCATAAGGACTCAAAGTGTTCTTTTGTTTTCCATTAAGGTACCTCATAGACCCTAAAGAAAGACAGTAAAACAGTTAAGATTCAGAAAAGCATAGACTTATTGGGATAGAAGTCCTACTCCTCTGAACTAGAAACTTCTAACATCTTAAGTACTTATCTAATATGAGGGCTGTTTTAAGTTGTAGCCTATCTTTTGTCAAGACAAATTCTTTATTGAATGTCAGAGAAAATGATGCAGAGATATTGAGTTGAACTGACTAGGACCTTGAGACAAGTTGGTAAGACCAGAGAGCCCCAAAGTTCATTTCTCAGTGGACCGATACCTCTCCTTCCCCAAGTCTACTTTATATGAATATAGAAGTGCTTGCTGTTGTTGTTGTACTATGCTCTTCATTAGTGAACACCTATCTCAAATAATCTAGTGGTGGTTTTTCTGAGGGGAACCAAGACCTCCATCAGAACTTCTCTTGCAAGAGAAAACCCGTAGAGATTACTACACAGATTCCATAAAGGCCCTTGGACAGATTTAACGTGTCTTCCCATAAACTCAGTTGTTCTTCTGTGTTCTTCTATGTTCAGTAGAATGGGAACACCATCTGTATTGGTTAGAAAATGAGGCCACAGGTTTTTAGTGTGGAAAAGTCACATTGTCCATCTTCTAAACAAGAGTTTTTGAAGACTTTGAAATGGATAGCCAAAGAGTGCCTCTGAGTGGTTTTACGACAAATGCTAAAAGTTTTGGAAGGAGTATGGTGGGAAGGGAAATGCTCATTAGAGTGAATGTCCTTTGCCTGCATTTATTTCTGACATTCAATCTTCTGGAGGCTAAAGAATTTTTGTAATGCAAAAGGATGGAAAGAAACATTTTATGGTAGTGTCATGGAGCTATGAGTCATTGAGCAACACACACTGAATTGTAGAACCTGAAGTGCTTCACACTTGAACAGAATCATCACATTTCTAACTTTTTTCTGTTAGTATTGGATATAAAATTATAAATAGTTCATCCTTCTTGTCTCCAAAATTCTGCCTATAGCAATGAGTATATGCAGACGATACCACCAAGAATTGCCCATATAATGCATACATGACAAAGCGGATTTATTTACTTGTTCACATATCAAATATTTATTTAATGCACATTATGCGTCAGGTAGTGTGTTTGCACTAGAGGAAAAGAAGAACAAAGGTACAATTTCTGACTTCAAGGATGACTCAACCTAATTGGGTTGACAGAAAAGTCAAGATAATTACAAGATCTTTCACTATCAGGCTTATCCTTACTGAGAAGAATTTTAAAAAATATATTTCCCCAAGTATTCTCTTTGCCTTTAGGTTTATACCAGTCTAATTGTTTTTTCCTTTCCTTTCTTTCTTTTATTTATTTCTTTCCTTTACATACCCTCCTTGAGATCATAAGTCTAATTTTAGTTCTCAACCATTCTTTAATAGCAGTACTGGCATAGGCAGTCTGTGTTCGAGGCTTTTGCTCTCCCATGATATGTCATACTTAATTAACTGTCACCTTCACTATTAATATTAACTGAAATATTAATTTGATGAATCTTAATTTCTCTTAATCATAGCATCATTTTCATCCTTCATTGGATATCTCTTTAGAATGACACACAGTGTAGAGGAGAAATATTAATAGCACATCAAGATATTTAAAAAAATCTTTTTAGCAATTGTGTTTTCCCAGTAAGAATATCTATTTCTTGAACCAATGTAGGCACCCCGATTTCCTTGTTAGCAAATGGATGTTTCTTCTTGATCACCTACTGACTCATTTTGCACTTTCAAATGAAAATACTTTCAAATTTAAGAAACATTTCTCCTCAGAAAAATTCTCCAGGGTCTGGTGCATTATCTGAGTGTACTATTAAGTGGAGGCATGCAAAATATATATTTGGAAGTTCAGTTTATTCCCTCAGTAGCAGAGAGATTATGGAGAACCAGTACCCAGAGGAAAGAACTAAGATGGAGAACAACTGAACTATCAAGAGAAATCTAATATATTAGTAGACCATTCTTTCTAACTTTTCTATCATTCATTAAAATTTAGCTTTACTTTTCAATAATTTCTTTTTTCCCTCACCCTATAACTGTCCTGCACACCTTCACCCTGGATATATTGGACTCAGATCAGGATGCACAAGGATTGCCTCCTTAACCCCCTCCATCACTGAAATGTGACTGGCCAGGAGCCTTTTCAGGAAAAGTCCTATGGGTCCGTTCCAGTCACTTAGCTTCTAGGCACACTGGAACAGGACAATTAGTTTTTCCTTGTTCTGATGGGAGTGGATGGTGACTGCCTTCAAGAGTATCATCCTGGGCTGGGGATTTAGCTCAGTAGTTCCACCACCTGCCTTGCAAGCACAAGGACCTGAGTTCAATCCCCGGTACCAAAAAAAAAAAAAAAAAAGAGTCATCCATCATTAAAGGGAGAAGGAGAGATGTGTTCCTTTCTTTCCAATTTCCTAGACCCCTTCAGAGAGTATGTTGAGCTTTAAAGCCCAGGATCTCAGGGAAGATAGGCAAGCACAATTATAAGAGCAGCATGCAGGTGGAGACCACTCACCTCCAGGTAGACCACCCAAGGCATCACCAAGGTGGCCACCAGCAAGTCTGCCACAGCCAGGCTCACCACAAGGTAGTTGGTAGTAGTCTGCAGGGCCCGTTCCCTCAGTACGGCCACACACACCAGGCCATTCCCGAAGATGATGGCTAGGATGAGCACACAGTAGGACAGTGCATAGTAGGCATATGGGCGCGTCCGGTTGGCGCCCGTGGAGTTCTCTGCTCCACAGGTGGAGTTGATGTGGCCACTCCACTGGCTCAGAGGTGCCATAGTCCAGAGGGAACAATCTGACCCAGAAGAATTCCTGGAAGGAGACAAAGCAATGTTGGAACATCGCACTCTTTGATGCTTGGATGTTTAAATATATTTTAAAATTTATTGCATGAACAAATATTTATCAAGCATTTCCTATGTAAAAGGCACTGTTATAAGAATCGGAGATACAGCAATGAATAAAAGATGAAAAAATTTCCCTTACGAAGTCTATATTCAGAAAGGAAAGCAGGCGACAGACAAGAAGAAGTTATGGTGTACTTTGTGATCGATACACATCTTGGAGAAAGATAAATCAGGGAGGAGAGTGAGGTCTGTGTGTATGTAAGTAGGTGTCTGACTGTAATTTTAACCAGCATGATCAAGAAGCCCTCATGGAACTACTGGCAGCTGAGTCATGACTGAAGGAGTTAAGGAAGCAGACCGTGCAGATGTCTGGTGGGAGAGTGGCCAGAGCAGCAGGTGCCAGCAGGAAGGGCTGGCATGTGAACAGGATCACAGGGAGGGCAGTGTGCTGGAACCAAGTGAGGCAGCGGTAGTGGGAGGAGGTGAGTCTGAGAGGTTGTGTGGGGCTGTTGAAAGAACTATGCTTGGGCTCTGAGTGAGATGGGACACGGTTGCAGGATTCCAACTCTAGCTCTGCTGTTTCCTACCTCTGGGACCTTGGGAAGGCTACTTCACTGGCTTGAATTCCAGTTTCCTCCATTATCATACAGGGGAACAATGGGCCCAACCTCATAGGGTTTTTGTGAGGATTAATTGGCCTATTATGTATGTAAAACTTAAAGCCATACCTGGCTTTCAGGCATAGAATGCTATATACATGGTGCATTAGCTATTTCTCCCCCGTCAGTCTGTTTTTCTTAGGTTCCTTCCCCCTTTCCTTGTTTCCTTCCTCCCAACCTCTATTGTTGTGTTTGCCTTTCCCCCTTCTCCATCTGTCTCTCTTTACTTCCTTTAATCTCCCATTCGCTCTATATGTATCTTACATAGGGAATAGTGGGTTTGGGAGACTAGATTATGGAGGAAAATCTCAAGAGTATAGCAGTCTCATACAGTGCTTTTTACGTTTGGAGGAGATCCATGTTTAGAGTTTTATTTGAAACTTCCTTACTTTATAATATTTTCTTGTTGGTACTGTGATTGAACTCATGGTCTTCACACTCAGCTACATCCCTAGCCCTTTATTTTGAGACTGGGTCTTGTTAAGTCACCTAAATTGCCCAGGCTGAGCTTGGACTTGAGATTCTCCTGCCTCAGCCTCTAGAGTTCTGGGATTACAGGTGTGTATCACCACATCTGGCAAACCTTCCTAATTTTCAAAGACTTGTTACCAATGAAAAATAGTTGAGCCTTTGTAAAGTTATCCCTTCTGAGACAGATCAGGGCTTGGCAAAGCTGTCTGGGGATAGAAGTGTGGCAAAATCCCAGGATCACATGTGCAGAATGGTTCTCAAAGCCCTACATGTGGATTTCTCACAATAAATAACTCAAGCAGGTTTTTTAGTAGGATGGCCTAGACCTGACAGCCTGAGGAGTGGATGATACAAAAGGACAGCCATCACTGAGTTTTTGCCACTCTGTTTACTCTTGCATGGTGGCCTGTTTTCATGCTGTAGGGTGTACTTTTCCCCTACTTTTACTTGGCCCAAACTCACTTTCCAGAGCCTGTTTCTCTTCCTAGATTTAATGAAACTTTGCTACCATTTGTGGTGTTTTGACCAATTCTTTGCTTAGGACAGAAAGAGTTTAGAGTCCACTTGCAGAAGGTGAAATCAACACCCTAGAACACACTAACACTTCCACTTTCTCTAAATTCCCACGTCCAAGGGTCAGTGATCCACTAATTTTCAATTTCTAACCTCTAAATACCCTTGATTTTTCAAACAGGGAAATTAAGATCCAGATTAATGAGTAACATGTCTTAGTCCTGTTGCTTATTAGTGGTAGAACCAGCATACAACTCTTCAAATTCTTTCAGTATTTCTTTTGGCATCTGAAAGCCATAGCAACTGTCATGTCACCAGTCCTCTGGGAAGAACCAACAACTCAAACTATGGAGATTTTAGATTTAGAGTGGGAGAGGCATCAGAGTTCATCAGTGGTACCCATAATACTTCTGTTTGGTCCCATCCCGAAGAAACAGCCAGGTTTGCATATTCTGTGGGGCCAAAAAAGTGTTACCATTTCTGTAAACATTGCCTTTGGGCCAAGGGTAGCTGTGTGTTAAAGTTACGGTTACGTGCTGGGGAAGACATGTGACCTGTGACTTACAGTGTGGCCATGAAATCCTATCAAGGCTAACTGTTGTCCCAGGCTCTGGGCTTTAGTGAGTCCTGCTCTGGTCCTCTACTATGGGCTGTATATTCATGTGCCCCCAAAATGTATCTTTTGAAATCCTAACCCTCAAGGTGATAATGTTAGGAGGTAAAGCCTTGGTTAAGGGTTTGAAGCTAGGGTCCTTATAAAAGAGACCCGAGAGTTAGCTAGCTTCTTCCACCATGTGAGGACATAGGGAGAAGATACATATCTATGAACCAGACACAGATTCTGCTAGAAGTCTAACCTTAGATTCTTCAGCCTCCAGAAATAGGCAAAATGTACTTCTGTTGCTTACAATCTGCCTTGTCTGTGGTATTTGTCATAGCAGCCTGAGTGAGTTAAGGTACCTTCTTCTGACCATACCCTACTGATAGTGCCTAGGAGAAAGTTCACTCCCAGGATCACACTCCTGGCACAAAGATCACGGAATCTTGTACTCAGTTGCTTGGCACCTGTTTCCAAGGCATCATAGGCCTCACTTTGGGTCTGTCACCTTGAGGGTAGACTGTGCCATATATGTATGGGACTCCTGGGCCCCTGTGGTACTCTTTGTTAAGCTCACATAAATATCTTTCATGTAGCTGAGGTGGGGAGAGAAGATTGAGTCCTTAAGTAGGATCGGATTACACTCTCACATTTTGTATGGAATTTCCAAGGACCCTGGAATTGTAAACTCAAAACTAGCCTTCTACGTACTGTATACCTAAAACGTACCAATAAACTCAATTAAAACTAAAATAAATAAATAAATAAATAAATAAAATAAAATGTCCTCAGCTCAGAAAAACAAAAACAAAAACAACCTAGCTATCTACATTTAACATATTTATATTTGGTAATGATTTAAAAATGTTTAAACATGGTTTGGGTCACAATTGGGAACTCTTGCTTCATGTTCTAGCAGAAGTAGAGGTTGGATTAGCGGCCAGGATTTGCTCTCAGTCTTATTGTCTGCAGCTTTCCTTGAATTAAGGAGTTGGCCTTATCATGGCTATTATTTTGTACCTCATTTGAAAATGTTTCAGCCTGGAATGTAAAAGCGTTAAAATGAACAAATGATTGGGAAAGGGTGACCGACTTGGAATGAATTCAGAGAATGTTTAAAAAATATTCTTTCTCTTGGCACATTGTTTGCAGTCAATATATTTTAAAACATAATAATAATTCTTGATAATGATTATAATTTTCTCATTATTCAGAGAAGGGTAGCCGCTATTCTGATGATAACATTGCCGCTGCCAAGAGCTTTTGGAAAAATACAATGCTTTCTGATTATTCACCACAGTTCCACCTCTGAAGAGAGGCTCAGGCCCAGAACACCTTCCCTTCCCCATCAGGGCCTTGGGAAGCAGTGGCCAGAATCATTCTTTCCTGGAGGCTGGTGTCAGTTAATGATGTCTTAGCCTCTTCTCAGATGTCAAGGAAGAAGGAAGAATAACACCTTAGGATGTTTATCACTACCTTGATGGACTTTTTCCTCTGCCAAGGGGTTTCACAGCTACTTAAATATAGTACAGCTGAGTGTCAGTGTTCAACCTTGAACACTGATTCTGAGCCTGATGTTGGAATTACAATTGCATGGATTTCTGATTTGTTTTTTCACATTGTGTTGTCTCAGGCCCTAGAATCTTTACAGCAGCAGGTAGGTAAGCCGTGGTTGTCCAGGCAATTCCTGATGAGTTGTGGATGTGAGAGATAAAGGGAGAGATGAATGAGATGCTTGCCCACTTTCTACCTTTCAGCTAATTATTTCAACATTTTTTTTCCTTAAGTCAGAGTTGCTTATATAACACAGAGCTGGGCTAGGATTTCTTTCTTTCTCCCTCTGATAGATATGCTTACTGAGAATAAATTGGTCTCAGGTAGGAAGATGCTGAGAGACTGAAGCATTTATTAATTCAACAATCACTAAGTAATTCCTAATGACAGACTGGTTTCTTCATCAGCAAAACATGGATAAATCATCCCTGCTTCATATTGTGAAGAGTAAATGAAATTATATATGCAAAGGCTTGGCACTCCTGGGCTGGATCATTCTTTGTTGTGCAGAGCTGTCTTGTGCATTTTCGGAAGGTTGGCAGCATCCCTGGCATCTACCCACTAAATGCCAATAGCAACCCTCCCTGAAAGTTTTGATAATCAAAAATATCTCCAGGCATTATCAAATGTCCCTGGGGAGGGGAGGGGGAAAAATCACTCTCCCCATTGAGAATCTTTGCTCTAGCAAAAGTCTGGAACATATGCTTGAAGTATGGTTATTTTTATTGTTAACAGGAAAGTGTAAATTAGTGAAGTGGTCAGTGGGTGAAGCAACAATTGCAGACTGTCTAATGGACTCAGAAGTTAGGAGGTTACTGGTGGCTAAAGAATGTTAGGAGATGGGAAACCAAAGGTAAGGGCTAGGCCTTTAAGATTCATTACATACAGCATTACTAACAATTTTTAGGAGTGCTTACATTTCTTACAGATTACTGATTTATCTCAAACATTAGAGTGCATTCTAGCATCTCTTAGAGGGTATAACTTAGTTTTTTTTTTCTGGTACTGGGGATCAAATTCAGTACCTCGTGCTTGTAAGGCAGGCACTGAGATAAATCCCTAGCCAGGGTATAACTTAGTTTAAGAAGCAGAGAGACAGACAGTGGTCCCCACCATACATCCTGCTTTTCCTTGGTCAGTCCCTTCACACAGAGTAAAAGTTTCCCTGAAATATTTGAAGGGCACTTTCTTGGCATCATGAAGATTTACAGTGTTTGAATTATTTGTTCCTTTTCATTAAGGATTAAGCAAGAATCAAAAAACACCTTGAGTCCTCAACCTCCTGGACACAACCACTTCTGGGCTATTCTGTGTACCAGGAACTTCACATGAAGCATCCCTACAGGATAATATTGGTATATTTCTTTATGGATCAGAATAAGAGAGGGAGAGTTTAAGTAACTTTGTCAAGATTACACAATGCATAAGGGCCTGACCTGAGTCAACATTTGATCTCAGGTTTCCCTGAATCTGAAACTCACAACTTGTTAACTTGTTAAAGTGGCTGTGCCAGTGGAAGTTGATGTTGAAAATCATTCTTGAATTGAGATGGGTTTTCCTCGACCCAGAATGAAACACCTTGGTAGCAGGCTCCATTACATATCTTCTCCCATGTCATGGGTCCCTGGATTTGTAATCTTTTAATCAGTCACATCCTGAACACAGCTGTCTCCAGAGCTTTTCTGGTCTGGGCTTCAATTCAAACATATTGAGTTGTCTGATAAAATTAATAATTATAATAACTAAAATTTATAAGCATTATCATATTTAAATCTCCCAACAACCTGATGAAGAAATCAGGTGCTATTATTATCCTCATCATGCAGATGAAGAAAGTGAGTCATGGAGAAATTAAGTATCATGCTGAGGTCATAAACTAGTAAATGATGGGGTTGATTCAACCCAAAATCTGTCTGAGTCCAGAGCTTCTGTTCCTAACTAGTCCAACATTGCTGTAAGGCAAACTAACTTGAAGCAGGGACTAATTTTAAGATCTTGCTCTTTCAGAATATCTATGCATATTGCCTTTGTAAGCTCCTTGAAGTGAATGCAGGTGCACACCACCCATAGAACCAGTGGGAGTTATATTGTCATTATTATTGGAGATAGTCTTTAGCATTTCTATGGCACTTTATTCTTGAAAATTGCTGCCTGACTTGTTTTCCTCATAAAGATTCACAAGTGCACTGAAATACAGAACATACTTATATATTTGGGTGCATTTTTGTTGTTGGTAAATTTACAGAGAAAAGCTATGGCTAGTCACTGAGATCTAAGGTAATACCAGTTTTTTATCAGTAAACCTGCCTACCAAAACTGAGAACCTTTGCTTTTCTTGGTGCTCTCTCAGGCTGAGCCTTCTGTCTTTTTAGTCAGATATTAAATGGAGGAACTCAATAGATCAATCAATAAGCAAATATTAATCGATGACAAACTTTAATGCATTAGAAATTAAATTTAATATTGGGTAGGATCAATTTGCTATTTGCTTTAGTGCATATTCTAAGAACTCCTCTGTTTAGATACTATCTTGTTCAACATCCCTGCTCACTGCTAGTCACACAGACCTTTGAAAATATTTAACTACAGATAAGCAATTGCCCAAGGAAGAATCTTTTCATATTGTCTCTCCTTATTTTTGGCTACAAAAAATTTCAAGGCCATGTCAAGCAGCTGTCCTTTGCTTTTACTCAAAGAGAGACCTTTTACTGACCTTTTAGTGTCAGTAAGCAAAGGGCTTCACCTATAAAGTGCTTTAAACAAGCATGCAGAATTAGTTTAGAATCCAAGTTCCACTTTGCTATTGCTGCATTACTATATTTCATGCATTTGATGATATTTGATTAAATTATATTTATGAATTAGAATAAGTGACTAATTACAATAACTTCGGTTGTCCCAGTAAGCTACATTAAGTAATGGATGTTCCACAATTAAGCAACAATGCCCTCAAAATCATATACCATAATTGAAGAAAATATACACAATCATCATCTCAAGTACTACATATCTCTGTTGGGAATAATTTGATTCTGACTTGGAAACAGCCTGACTTTAAATAGACCATTGAAAATAGTGCCTCTCCAAACCCTCAGCCCTGGATTACCAGGGTGCTGAATTGGGGAGTTTCAAATAGCAGACCCTTACAATTAAGGAAAACACTTAAGAGAAATACAATGAACTTTCATATGAATCCCAGGAATAATTACAGCTTTTTATTTTCTATCTTTTATTTCTGCCTTGATATAGCTTCTAGAGCTCACAGGAATTTTTGGCGGGGAGGGAGGATAAAAAGAAAATAAAAGAAAAGAGAATCGGTTTCTACCATCCAACCACTGAAGGAAAAATGAAAGCAGTTTCCTCAGGTTTTTAAATCAGAGTGGCATGGGATTTTAAATACGTATTCGTTTTGAACCAAAGAACTCCAAGCTAATCAAATAATCTTCCAGGAAAACAATACGTACTAAATTAGAAATGAAAAGAAAAAGTACTTACCCTGAAAATTTCCCTCTGATTTCTGGAGATTGTGAAGTTTAGTATCTCAGCTCTTGCAGCCATTTACTCACAACAGATATACTCAAGCAAAGCAAACTTAGCCTTTCCCAGGACCCAGAAACTATGGAAATGAGCAGAAACAAAATCACCCATTTTTGCCTCTAAGCTGAAATTACTTGTATGTTGCTCTTCCAGCTTCCCTTTTCGACTTTACTGCATGTTCCATAGCTGCTTTCCAATGCATCCGTTTTCCCTAGGGGATGCAGGACATCCCTAAACTGAACGTTGTTTGGGTCAGGTGGTCAGAGGCTCTGTCCTTGGTGCTGAAAGAGAGATGAAGTAGGCATGAGCAGGATCCGTTTTCTACCTCGGTCTCCTCTTTTCTCTCTGTGTCTCTATCTGCTTCGCTACTGTGCTTTTTAATACATGTGTATTCCCTCTTAGTTCTCTTTTTAATCTCAATTTTCCACTCTATCTTTATGCTTTGATTTCTCTCGAATAACTCTCACCATTCTCAATTTAATTGCCTTTCCAGCTTTTGGTGGGTGTAAAGATGATTGGTTCAGAAGGAACAGATCAAGAAATTGATACTACAAGTGGTTAATGGAAATCAGTACAATTTAAAACACAATTGACAGAATAATTGAACTTGGAGGTGTACGCTGTCTGGGAAAAGAAGGTTAAAGGAAATATACTGCAGTGGAAGCAAAACTGAGGCATGGAATATAACCAGTGATAAAGATGAAATAGGCTAACAGTATAAGAAATACTAAATATTTATTTTGCAGCCTTTCTTGTTTTCAGAGAACTTGGAAACATTGCCTATTAATTCTTACTTCTCTTCTGTGATATATGAAGTGTTTTTTTTTTTTTAACTTGGATTTAGAACAGTCTAAAGTAAGACACAACCAAGGGCACTGTTAATGGAAGTCAACATTAGAACTTAGACAATCTTAGTTTATGTTTACTTGATCAGGCAACTTTACCATGGGATTTTAGCTTGATCTCCTGTTTTTAACTTCTTCTACCTCAGAGAGGGCAGTAATTCTTTCATTGTTTTCTCTGCTAACAGTGGATGAGGTTGGCAGTGGCAAAGCCTACTACCACACATAAACTCATCCTCATTTGATTATGATGGGGCCCTCTGTTGACTGAAAAAGAGACAGCAGCAGCAGCAGCAGCAATAAGAGCCACATATTGCATTATTAACAACCATCATTACTAATAACAACCATCAATAATTACTATTAGGCAGTCACTTTAATGTGTCATCTCTTCTAATTATTTTGACCACCCTTAGTACTATTACAAGATAGGTGTTATTATTACTTTCTTTAATTTGTAGATAGGACAAATGAAGCTTAGAGAAGTTGATAGAATTTCTGAAGATGACAAAATTAACAAGTGGATCAAGATTTGGACCTAGGTATTTTAATTTGCTTAACTGCTGTTCCATGCTTCTTTCAAAGGTGGAACATTTAGATTTCTCAGGGAGTTGATAATACTTCAGAGAGATTAGTAGTTGTGATGCCAATAATAATGACATTGATAATGCAACATTTTTATGATAACTTGTTTAGAAAGCATTTTCTAAATCATGTTCTTGGCTGCATCTCACTTCAATCCTCATGATTGCTAATTTTTATAGAGGCTGTTAAGGACAAGTAGGTCTCCCCAAGTTAATATTTTGAAGCTTTAACCTATGAATGTGACTGTATTTGAAGATTAGATTTTTATAGTGGTGACTAAGGTTAAAGGAGGCCTTTAGGATATGCCGTAGCCTGGCACTACTTGTGGTCTAGTAGGAAGAAGTAGAATAAGCAGAGGAAGGGCCACAGAGACACAGAAAGATGGTAGCTAAGCCAAGGAATGGAGCCTTAGGAAAAGACCAAATCTGCTAACATGTTGATCTTGGACTTCAATTTCCAGAATTGTGAAAGTAAATTTGTTTAAGCCATTTGGTACTTGGAAACTTATTAAAGCAGCCTAAGCAAACTAACAGAAGCTTAGAGAACTGGGCACCATATCCAAAGTTGCTCATCATTTATTGAGCACAAATATATCAGAAATGTGGCATAACTTTATTGAACATACTGAGACTGGAACTCCCAGCTTGAATGTGAGCTTCAGACTCTTCTTCCTTTATATTAGAAGACCACAGGAATATGTACTGCTAGAGCTTGGCTTGTCTGATGTATAAAAGCAGGGAGTAACTGGAGGGTGGTGCACAGGCAAAATGAAGTAGAGGGATTTAGGAAGTTCAGGGCCTCATATTGCTCATTTTCAGCATCATAGTTTCAGTAGCCTTTTTAATATTTGAAGATATTTTGTAAAGTGATAATGTTGTCTTTACAATGTATGAATATGGCAGAAAAGGTCCAATTTCTAGAATTTCTGTGTGGAGAACAGAAAAAGTATCCTCACAGGGCAACTATAAATGCTGGCAGAATTTCCCCGCATGTTTTTATAGTGCTTTTCTTTGGCAAAGTTCAAAGGAAGATAAAGAGGGAAGATTCTCTTTCTAGTTCCGTGTGGAAGTACCAAACAGGAAAATTAATTGACAGACCCCAAATCATACATCTAAGAAACCACTGAAATCTCTACTCAGCTACCTCTCTAGTAGATGTGGACTCCTTAGGGAATGAGAAGGAATCGGTATAGAAAATAGAAGGGGGAGGGGAGTAAATAAGGTAGTTCTTTCTTTCAGAACTTTAGGGTTGGTTTAGATCAGCAATTGCTTCTTTTAACTAGGTACTCATACTCATCCCATTAAATAGGTTTCTCTTTCTAAAGTAAATGTAGCTCTTAATAATGATCGGCATTGAAGATTTGCCTGCTGGGATAAACTCCACAATGTGTACAGAACAGACATGCCTGAGCAGAAATAAAGAAAAATACAGATCCTTTTCCTCAGTTTTCTTCCAAGAACACAGCTCAGTGTCATGACTGTAGCATGTCAGGCATCACCCAGTGGGTGCTGCATCCAAGAAGTCTTTAACCTTGGAACCGGAAGTGGAAAGTTAAAGCAAGAGTGGAGAAGTGGGGAACTTCTGATACATGGCCATGTTCAGTGATTTTATTCAAAGGGAAATTTGTGGTGGAATTATTCTCTTCTGTTATATAAAATGCTGCTCCAGGATAACAACATAGGAAACAATACTTTGAACAACAGCCATGGAATACAATGTGCCTTTTTCATGTCACTTTAAACCCCACCTAGACACTATGTAGAGCAAAGGAATCAGTGTCAGGAGCCAGATTGCAGAACCCTGTATAAACACAGAAATATGTTGTTTCCATGTATCATTACAACTAGTATTTCTCACTGTGAACTGGAAGATTTGATTATCATGATGATCTTAAATTGCAGGGATGCTGATTTAGTCTGAAGAACGTCTTTCAGTATGTGCTTCATTCACTGAAGTCACCTTAAGTTTTAAGAGGGCAAATGTAAACTGGCAAATGCAGTTAGGGAACCAGGCAGCATGGTTTCTTCTTTCCAACTCTAGCCCTCCATTTCCCTCCATGAGATCTTGTGATAGATGAGAACTGCCAGAGAAAGCCTATGTTTTATATTTTAATTCATTCTACTGCTGGAATGCAGTCCTTGAAAGAAAAATGGTTTAACTTGTCTGGTACCAGGCTTCAGTTTCACTTCCTTTCTACCAAATAATGGCAGCAAGTTGCAAAGAAGGCTTGTCAACTAATTAAATTTGTATCCACTTCACTCTTTTATAGGTGGCAGAATAATAGTAGGAAAGGAAATGAGTAAATAATATTCACCTTCATATTTATATCTACTTTTCTGTGAGTGTGCATTGTACTTCTTTTCCTACTCTCATCTTCATTTTCAATCTGTTTTCTCCTGTTTTTTCTACCCTACATCAGATCTTTCATTCTTATAACTTTTCCTAGATCTATCTAATCTCTTTTCTTTTCCCCCCAAAATACACATAAATGGGAATAAAGATAGGCTAGAAATCAGACAATTTTATATCTTTATTTTTCATCTGTTCAAAAAGGATTTGGGATTGATAGGTATGGCAGATTGTATTTTCTAGTGACAATCTCAATTATATGTCACATCTTTCATTCTCCTCTCCGACTGACACTTCACAATCAAGACCTCTCTTTCTTTTTTAACTTTGAGATGTGTCAAATACCAAATTCTTTTTTTTAATTCATTAATTTTATTGGTACATTTCAGTTATATATTATGCTGACATTCATAATTGGGAATTTGTAATTTTACATAATATATCTTGGTTCTTATTTTTTTCCTCAGTCCCCTGTCTTCCATTCAACCCCTCTACCCCTCCCTATTTACAAAGACTTTGTTTCCATTTTTTCTTTTCTCATTTTTATTCATTTTCCTTCTCCTTATCCCTCCCACTTCCCCTTCCACTTTGGACCTTTTCTTCCTATTTCACATTATCCATTATACATTTTGGTCCTTACATAAACTTGCAGTTTTTTGCACCATACAAACTATTCAGCATTTATACATGTGCATTCTATTTATTTCACTTAAGTGTATAACCTCAACAGACATTCATTTAACTATAAATGTTTCTAGTTTTTCCTTCTTTGTGGCTGAGTAGTACTCCATTTTATTTTTAAAAATCCCACACCTTCTTTATCTAGTCTTCAGTTGATGGGCAATTGGGCTGCTTCCAAGTTTTATCTATTACAATCTGTGTCACTATAAACATGGGTGCACATATATCACTGTGGTATGATTCTTTTAATTTTGGGGGGAAGATACCCAGCAGGGGAATAGCTGGATCAAATGGGACCTCTAATGCTAGTTTTTTAAGGTATCTCCATACTGATTTCCCCAGTGGTTGCACCGGTCTAAACTCTTACCAGCAGTGGAGAAGGGTTCCCTTTTACCCACAGCCCCTCCAGTATTTGTTATGGGTTGACTTTTCTGTGTGTGGGCAGATTTCTTGATAGCAGCCATTCTTTCTGGGGTGATGGAATCTCAGTGTTGTTTACACATCTCTTGAATGACCAGTGATGTTGAACATTTTTTCATATGTTTACTTGCTATTTCTACTTCTTTGTCTATGAAATGTATGCTCATTTCAGATGTCCATTTCTGAATTAGGTCTTTAAATTTGGAAGGTCTGATTTTTTAAAA